TTTTGGAACGACAACTAGTAAGAAGCCTAAAGAGATGAGCCAGTGCCATAACCCTTTCAGTTGACTTTAACAGAAAGCCCCCCTGTTGCTCCAGATCAGGTCCTACCTATTTACCTGGCACCAAGGGAGAAGGCAAAAAGATCAGATGCTTTGCCATTATACCTGCTGTCGGGTCGGGCCTTGTAACTCTCTTGATCCCACAACGCTTATTCGATTTAGTGCTCTCCTCCTTCAGGGCAGGGAGGTCATTTCTGGAAGGCTGCAGGATGGAGTCCTAACTCCAAGTGATTACTGCAAAGCCAAATTTAACTAATAATATAAAGAATATGCAGAAATAGAGAGCATTGCAGAATGAAGTTCTACTTAAAACAGCGTCGTTTGTATTAATATCTAAATAAGAACAGCATTGGGTATAGCCAAAAATAGATTAAGAAAGACCTTGATCCCACACAAACTGGCTGTGAGTAATTTTACACAGGAAAGTAGCACACCAGTTGAGCTGCTCCCCTGCTTAGAATTATGCATTTCCTTTTTTTTTTTTGCCAGTGTCCCAGCCTTGAAAAGCCTACAATTCATTATTGGAAACCTAAAGTAGCAAGGGAATCTCCCTTCACTACCTAGAAAGCACACCTTTCTTTTAATAAAAAAAAAAAAAAAAAAAAAAAAAAAAAAAGAAAAAAAAAGAAAACACACATAATAGCACAACAAAAAACTGTTTCTAAAACTTGATTTAGATTCATTTTCTCTTATATAAGACCAGCTGAAATATATTTAATGCATCTGATCAAAATATTTACAAGGCTTCCTGAAAGCTTTAAAATATCAAAACCTGATCATCAAAATACGCAGTTCCATGCAATAACGTCTTCTCAATAAAGTGAACCGTAACCATCTAATACAGCTGTTTCTTTCCCTTCAAAACTCCCTGAGTCACATTCAATGGCACACAGGCTGAAATATGAAATATCTCCTACTATTTTCATAATTATTATTTTCTTGTCCTGTGTAGGAATAGATGCCGTGGGCCCAATCCCGCATGCAGGTTACTTTTCGCACCCAGTGCACTCAGTTGAGTTACTAACACACCCAAATTATATGTAGAATTGCTTTCAGGGTGGTCAGTAGTCATCTCTTCAGTTGTGTTGCACCTATTTTTTTTTTTTTTAAAGAGGTATCCAGCAACCTAAAAAAAAAAAATATATTAAACTATTTTAAATAATCTGAGGGACAAATATTTTTTCTGACCGTTGTCAAGGTGGCTACTTTTTCTTGTGCAGCATATATGAAATCTCAGGAGGCACGGTACAGGAGATTTTCTATACCAGGAGTCATTATCACCTCCTCAGAAAGTGAAATGCAGGTGAACAGTAAAACTGCGAGAGACTAAGTGCACTTCTTCCACCTTGCTTTGAAAAGGGGGAAATGGATTTGGTACAGGCCAAAACACAGGGATATTAATGCTCGCTACCTTGCTGCTTCTTAGTGGAAGGAGGGAGAAAATCATACTGTATTTTCATTTTCAGTCATTAGCAGGCTGTTCAGAATCTCTGGCTGGTGCTTATTATTTATTCTAAACAGAAATAAAATAAAATAAAAATAAATAACAGGACGAGGACAAGCTATGCACAGCACATTTTCTCTTTCAAAATAATATTACCTTTCAAGTCCACCGTAACCTTGGAAAAGAATTACTCGATGTAAGCCAATGCTACGAAACTAATCACAATCCATTCCTCCCCCGCTTTTTAATAGCTCTTATAGGAAATATGGGTACAGTTAATAGACAAGTTAAGAACAGCTCGCTTCCAATACAGAATTTGAACTGCGACGGTAAGTCTTGCATCTTTTAATGATGGATCGGTTATTTGCCTCACACGAATTACTTTGCATAACAGAGCTGGCCCTCACTGAATTCATCAGAGGTAAAGACCATAACACGTACCCAGCCAGTATCAAACCTGTCAAATGCCCAATCAAATGATGAGAGGCCATCTCACTGACGCTGAGAGCCAGGAGATCAAACGCTGCCGCCTGTTTTATACTCGCCAGATCTTCCCGTTTCTTAAAATAGCTCTCCGTGCCTCAATGCCAGCCTTAACCATTTT